CGGCGCTGACATGAGCGCGCCGCCTACGATCAAAGACACGGGGCTCCATGTCCAGAGGAGCTGGGAGGGAGCCGGCGTGCTGGGAGCCCCGCGGGTGCACCGCGGACTGAGGAGGAACGCGGGCCGGTGGATAATGGCAGCCAGGGCTTACAGGGTCCAGGGTGATTTTAGAATTATTTATTCTTTCCATTTTATGTGCTATTGTTATTTAATTTTTACCTCAACCACCAGGCCACCCGCCAGCGCCTCAGGGTGATGTTTTTTTCCGGAGAGGTTTTTGGTATAGGGCACATGCGCTCGCCTGAAAGACAGACAGCGAGAAATCACCCTCCCTGGGGGAATGGCCACGCCGCAACCTCTTCTCCTCCATTCTCCTCTCCGGTTCTTGGGCACGCATGCACACGCGCCGGGCCTGAGTTTAAGCCACCGGGTCTGGGACTTGAGCCTACATGGGAGTCCAGCGATATAGCCATTATACCAATTGCAAGTTTCAGCCTCAGGGTGATTTTAAAGGCAAAAGGTGCATGTGGGGAGGGGATGACAAAGTCATTTGCCAAAGCTCTAGTTAGAGCAAGGTGTCATACAGCAGAGAGTGGCTGGATCCTGGCAGGAGGAATAGGGAGGGCTCTCAGTGGCCTGAAGTCACTTGTTATGCACAGTCTAAATTAGACTCTGGATAATGTACAGGGTTAACGCCTTGGACTAGACTAAGGAGACAGGAGTTAGATTCTATCTACAGGAAGACAGAGAATCTTGTTCTTAAAGAATTCATGGACAGGGCTAACAGGCACAGTAGTGGTTAAGGCGCTGGACTTCCACATAGTCCAGTTCAAGTCCCGGACTGGTGGCTTAAAATTCATTCTGACGTGTGCGTGCGTGCCCAAAATCCCGAGAGGAAAATGGAGAAGAGATTGCAGTGTGGACATTCCTCAGAGGTGATTTTTCACTTTCTGTCTATCTGACTGGCACACATGCACTATAGCAAAAATCTCAAAAAAAAAAAAAAAAAAAAAAAAAAAAAAAAAAAAAAAAAAATAAATAGGTGGGTAGACAAGAACGAAAAGATCAGATAGCAGGGACCAGCAGATGGCATAATAGTTATGTCACTGGATTCCCATGTAGTCAACTGCAGTTCAAGTCCCAGGCTAGGTGGCTTAAAACTCACACTGGGTGCGTGCACGTGCATGCCCAAGATCCCAAGAGGAGACTGGTGGAGAAGGGACTGTGGTGTGGCCATTCTCCGGAGGGGTAATTTCTCTCTTTCTGTCTCTGTCTCTTTCTTTCTGGTAAGTGCAGGCACCCGATAGCAAAAACCTCTCCAAAAAAAAAGAAAAAATGGTACAAAGTTACCCAGAAGTGGGGCTGAACAAGATCATCCATGCCGATTATCACACCACATAGGGCAAGACGCTTGGGGAAAGCTGCAGCGACTGTTAGCTCTTGCAATTATTTCATACAGATGTCTCTTAGGACACATTCCTAGAAGGGTGCCTAGAAGGTTCCTGACTCCTGGGCCTAATGGAAGACTTTTGCTCATACCCAAAACTATGTTTCGTGAAAGCCTTCATCGGGTTAGCAGATACTTCTCAGCTAGCTCCAGAATACAAATCAGACTTTTAAATTCCCATTAAAAAAAGAAAAAAGGCCACCTACAGACAAGTATGTATCTACTTCTCATCACAGCAAATACTTGGATGTTGATTTTGATTTGCTTTCTATCCCAGGGTCAAGGGAAACAATATTCAAGAAGAGAATGTCTAGGGGACAGGGTAAGCCAGTCGTAGTACTTATTAGCGTTATTTAGTATCTATACTGAGTTACATTACACAAGACTTCTGTCTTTATTAAAGGAGAACTCTCAGTGGCCGAGCTGACGGCATCCATCCTTCATGCTTGCCCACACGCACACATCTACGGGTAGTCTCACATTTCAAAAGCAGGAAACAGGTTGCTGTGCCAAGAAGGTAATCCATGTTTGTCCTACTGCGGTTCTTTATTCCTTCGGCTGCAGAAGTTTTAGTTTGTACTTTCTCCTAATTAAAAAATATATCTAATTTTGTTTATTATTATTATTATTATTATTATTATTTAATTTGGTACAGGGCACACACACTCACTGGAGAGAGACAAAGACACACAGAGAGAGGAAAGTGTGAAAGCAAGCTTCCAGGTCTAGAATTTGAGCCGCGGTCAGCCATGTGGGAGTCTAGCACCTTAAGCACTGTGCCACCTGCTGACCCCAACTTTCTCCTAATTTTAACAGATTCATCGGTTTTATTACAATTACTTTTTAAAAAAAGTATTAATTTCAACTTTATTTACTTATTTTGACAAGAGAGAGAGAAAGTGAGAAAGCAAGCCACCAGGTCCGGGACTCGAACTGTGGTTGACTGTGTGGGAGTCCAGTATCCTTAACCAGCATGCCCTACGAGTACTTTCTGATCACTTTCTAGAGGGAGGTAGGGCATAGGTCAATATGGGCTGACGACATGGTCATAACATGGCGCGTGTCTGGTGCTGCTGCAGCGCCTGCTCAAGGCATGGTCAGCTTACCCTGTGGCTAGTGATGTGCCAGCACCAGCCCTTCCCATGCCTTTCTAGCCACAGATTTTTTAATATAATATTGTGCTGAATGGGTGGGCATAAAGAGCTTATAAACTGGGTTTTTGGTTTTTGTTTTTCTGGTTATCAAGCAGTGCATGCACTTCCCAGGGAGAGATAGGGAAAGGAGGAAGCACTCCTCAACAGGAAGTGATCAGTCCCTGCTCCAGCTCTCCACCCTGTCAGGATTGGAGTATGCGCATGCAGGCACACACACTGGGCATGTTTTCAAACCTCCAGAGCCAGGATTGGAACCACAGTGGGCCGCATGGGCTGCAGCTCCCTTAACCGTTAAACTACAGGGAAGCCATGCGTGGTTCTTTTAGCATTTCTTGTCTGTAACATCTCAAAGGACACAAGCCCCAGGAAGGGAGGGGCATTTGCCTGCTCCATTCCCCGTGGCATCCTGCACCCGCACCTAGGGCACCTCACCGGTAAGGCTCTGCCTCCCGCTGTAAAAGCTAGCACATCTTTCTACAGCGAAGGGGATGTCGGTAATCCTAGGGCTCCACTACTCCTCTTTTCCCCTTTCAAACATGTGTTTCTTCTTTTACTTTCTTCCTCGCTGTTGTCTCTGTGAATTAAACCTCTATCATCTTCCTTCACCAGGGTAGACCTAACAGCAGCCCCTTGAACCCCAGAGATGTAGGTTAGACTTCTTGGAGTGGGTTCCCTCAGGGAAGGCACCGGGTGGGGGAGGCACCTAGCTGCTTTTCCCCATCCAGCTAGACAGTCACCGAGAGTCAGGACACAGATCACCAGCAGGGTGTACAGTGTGTGGAGTGTTGCCTCTAGCCATGGGGGACATAGCCACGAGAAAGGCAAAGTGACAAGCAGGGGAGATGGGGTGTCTCCGAAGGACAGTGTATGAGGCAGTGGGAACAAATGGGGAGGCTGGCCTGGATAACCGAACTGAAACACCCGGCCTTGTGGGCCGGACAGTCAAAGGTGAGGAACCTGGGAACAGCAGATGGCATAATGGTTATGTGTCTGAACTCCCACACGGCCAATCGTGGTTTGAGTCCTGGACCTGGAGACTTGAAACTCACACTGGGTGCGTGAGAGGAGACTGAAGGAGGAGTGATTATGGCATGGCCACCCCCACCCCATCCCAGGGTGATTTCTCACTTTCTATCTCTCTGGTGAGTGCACATGCCCCATAGCAAAAATCTCTCTTAACGAGGTTTCGGTACCAGAATCCACACCGGCTACAAGAAGGGAGGGCAATAGGGCTGGGCCACAATCGGCATGTACCAAGCACAGCTCTCTGTGACGGCCTCATTAAAAAGGCAGCTGTAGGGGCCAGCAGTTGGCGTAATGGCTGTGTTGCTGGACTCCCATGTAGTCGAACACAGTTCAAGTCCTGGACCCGGTGGCTTAAACTCATGCCGGGCGCATGTGCATGCGTGCCCAAAATCCCGAGAGGAGAATGAAGGAAAAGGGATTGCAGCGTGGCCCTCCCCCTGGGGGTGATTTCTCACTTTCTGTCTCTCTGTCTCTGTCTAGCTTTCTGGTGAGCACACACGCCCTATAGCAAAACCCTCTCAAAAAAAAAAAAAAAAAAAAAAAAAAAAAAAAAAAAAAAAAAAAAAAAAGAAAAAGAAAAAGACAACTGTATAAGAGTCAGAGTGGAGAAATCCCCAGAGCCTACCAGGGCCAAGTGAGTTTGGCAAATAATTGCAAATGGCACACTTCACCCCAATCAGTTATACGGCAGAGTCTTAACTGCTTACGTTTTTAATGGTCAAGGTTTTGTCCCCCCAGAAATTCATGGCAGATGAACAATAAAATATTAGACATTGTCATTGAAGGGAGAAAAGAGACACTCCTGTCGTAGACCACTCTGGTTATATTTCTTACTGCTGGACATAATTCCATGCTGTTCCAAATTTGCACTCTACCACCACTGTGTTGAAGGATTAGAGGACTTTTTAACCCTTTACTAATTAAAATGGTTTGTTTTCTATATTTGACTCCAGCTCTGGAAAGACGGTATCCAAGTACCACTGAAATGACTTGCAACCCAATCGTTTTCTTAATTCAACACGCTCGCTGATGTTGCCGTAGGGGAGTAGTTTCAGAGTAGGTCTTTGATGAAAAAACTGCTCCTAAAGGAAAACAGAGTCGTCCGTTAAACCAAGCACGTCTTTGGTAATCAGATCATGACAGCCAACGTGCCCATATGTATGTGTATGATCTGAGCCGAGAAGATCCTCCTGGTTTCCTCTCTCCAGGGAACATGAGCATAGACACAGTCTAGGCCCGCCCCAGACTTTCTCACCCTGCACCCTCCACCGTCTGGGCGATGGCATCAGGGCAGGTGTCACGTAGGAGAGGAAGACTGGCCCCAGCAGTTTGAAAAACATGCTGGTTGGAGCCAGTAAGTGGCATGGTGGTTAGGCTGCTGGACTCCCAAGTGGTCAACCACGGTTTAAGTCCTGGACCTGGTGGCTTGCTATTTTACTCCCTACCCCACGAACTCCCATCTCTCTCTGGTCAAACTAAAAAATAATAATAATAAATAGAACTAAAAATTTTTTAAAAAAGAAAAGATAAAGGAAAAGAGGATCGTGGCATGATAAGTTTCTGTTGAGGGATCTATCTTTCTCTCTTATTGCACACATACACTTGACAAAAACAAATTTTTTTAGAGAGAGAGATTTCTGCTATAGGGCATGTCCATTCACCAGAGAGACAGAGACAGAGAGGCAGAAAGTGGGAAATCACGCCTTCGGGAGGGATGGCTGTGCCACAATCACAACTCCTTCTCCTCCAGTCTCCCCTTGGGATTTGGGGCACACATGCACATACACCCGGCATGAGTTTTAAGCTGCTGGGTGCAGGACTTGAACCATGGTCAACTACGTGAGAGTCCAGCAACGTAGCCATTATGCCATCTCCTAGTCCCACACACAACAAAAATTAATGTTTATATATTCTGATATTGAAAGATGATTTGTGAGTATATTTTCAAGTGAAAAATATCAGTACAAAATATTGTACGAACCTAGTCCTGCAGAAGAAAAGGACATATTCTTGTGAGCATGGGTGTGTGGATGAGGAGCTCCAGGCCACCGACGGCACAGACTGCAGTGTTGAACTGCAGTGCTGGAAGCCACGCGGCCAGTCACGGCTGGGCCCCAGCCTGAGCAACCTGAACTGTGCCGGTGTGTACGGTGTGCCGGTGTATACAGTGTGCCGGTATGTATGGTGTGTACGGTGTGTACGGGGTGCCGGTGTGTATGGTGTGTATGGTGTGTATGGTGTGTACGGTGTGTACAGTGTATACGGTGTGCCAGTGTGTACGGTGTGTACGGTGTATATGATGTGTATGGTGTGTACGGTGTGTATGGTGTGCCGGTGTGTACAGTGTATACGGTGTGCCAGTGTGTACGGTGTGTACGGTGTATATGGTGTGTACGGTGTGTATGGTGTGTATGGTGTGTACGGTGTGTATGGTGTGTACGGTGTGTACAGTGTATACGGTGTGCCGGTGTGTACAGTGTGTACGGTGTATATGGTGTGTACGGTGTGTATGGTGTGTATGGTGTGTACGGTGTGCCGGTGTGTATGGTGAGTACGATATGTACGGTGTGCCGGTGTGTACAGTGTGTATGGTGTGTATGGTGTGTACAGTGTGCCAGTGTGTATGGTGTGTATGATGTGTACGGTGTGCCGGTGTGTATGGTGTATACGATGTGCCAGTATGTACGGTGTGCATGGTGTGTACGGTGTGTATGGTGTGTACAGCGTGCCGGTGTGCCAGTGTGTACGGTGTGTACGGTGTGTACGTGCTCCATGTTGCCAGCAGCAGGAGGGCTGGGAAAAGGGGTCGCAGCATCACGGGGCCCTTGGAAAGTGCTTCTGTCTCGCTCATGCACTCACACAGGTACTCTGTTGTGAATAAAACAAACCGAAGAGCACACCGGCAACTGCAACGAGTAATTCAGCAATTACCTCTGAGGGGCGGGATATGGGCTTAGAAAACCTACTTTTCACTTTCTACTATAAAGTATTACATAACATTTTAAAATGAGCATTGTTTATCTTTTTAAAAATAACTTTTAAAAAATCAAGAATCATAGCAAACATGCGGAAAATTCATAAAATGTAAATATGAACCTTAATGAAGTGCTGAGAAATCAACCCAAGTAACCTGACTAGGACAACAAACAGTCCCTTAGCAGCACCCAGAAGCCCCCTGCTTTCCCTGGCCTTTTACCCTTGCCCTAGTTTTAAACGCTGACCCGGTTATGCGCTCATTTCTTCTCTTTGTAGCATTGATAGCTAATTATGCATGCGAAATGATCCAGCTTAATTTTATCTATTTTTAACTTTATAAAAAGATAACAATACAATATGTATTCTATTGTGTTTGGCTGGGATTTTTTCACCATCACATCTTCAAGATTTGCCTATGCTATCGCGTGTCTGTCTGGAGTTGGTTAATTTTCGTTGCTGAATGCCATTACAATGACTACATATATTACACTAATCAGTCCTACTCTTGATGGGTGTTGGGGTTCCATTAGCTTTGGCTAACCCAAACCTGTGTTTATAAACAGCCTGTTTGTGTGTCCTGGTGTGAGAAGGCACGTCTCTCTGTACATAAACGCTGAATGAAATAACTGCAGGATCTAGGGTATTTGAATCCTGTACTGCTGCCAAACCACTTTCAAAAGTGAGCTGACAGTAACAAAGCCTCCCACTAGCAGTGTGTAATAATTCCTATTGCTCACCAACACTTGGTCGGATCAGACTGAAATTGTCGATCTAGGTGGCAATGTAGAAATATCTCATGGAGGTCTTAAATCACATTTCCCTGATAACAGGTGAAATCATGTGTTAATACTTTCTAATGAAAAAAACCTGAATTAAGGATATATAAGATAAGACTGAGACCAGCAGATAGTGTAATGACTATGTTGCTGGACTCCCATGTAGCAGACTGCAGTTCGAGTCCTGGACCTGGTGGCTTAAACTCATGCCAGGTGCGTGTGTATGCGTGCCCAAGATCCTAAGAGAAAATGCACGAGAAGGGATTGCGGCATGACCATCTTCCCTGGGAGGTGATTTCTTGCTTTCTGTTTCTCTCTGTCTTTTTGGCGAGCACACACACCCTATAGCAAAAACCTCCACGCCCCCCCCCCAAAAAAAAGATAAAGACCAAGACATGAGGCCAGTGGGTGGTATGGTGGTTGAGGAGCTCAAATCGCACATGGCCAACCATGGTTCAAGTCCTGGATCCAAAGGCTTGAAACTCACGCTGGCACATGTGTGCGCATGCCCAAAATCCCAAGAGGAGAAGGGACTGTGGTGTGGCCATCCCTCCTGGGAGTGATTTCGCACTCTCTGTCTCTTTGGCAAGTGCACTCACCCTATAGCAAAAATCTCTCTCAAACAAAAAACGGACACACCCGATCAGAGTCCTATGCCTTCCCGCCCATGTGCCTGCCGTGAGGTCTGTTATCTATCGTCTTGACTCGTCTGGCCACGGTTTCTGGCTGGATGTGCATCCTCTTAGGTCCTAGCAAGGGGCTTATCCCTTGGGGAGATGGACACATGGACAGGGTAGCTTGGCAGAGACTGTTGGCTGTAAAGAGGTAGTGGGGGGCCTAACGCAGTCCCAAGACTGTGGCGTCCACGTCGGTGGGGCACTGGCCATGGTGGAAAACAATCACAAGATCGGAATGTGGGAAGAAGACGAGGAGAGGCTGCTTGCTTCAGGGTGTGTGTGTGTGTGGTGGGGGAGGTAATTCCTCGGGGGGGGGAATAAATCTAGGAAAATAAAACAAAAGTCTTCTGTTGGGGGATATACTTTTGAGAGACACAGTTTCTTAAGAAGTTAAACTGAAAAATGAGGGGCAAGATAGCAGTTTAGAATGAATGATGGAGGAGTATGTCGGGGTTGGTGGATGGGTGAGTGAAGGGGCGCCACTGATCCGAGGGAGGCAGGGATCTGGAAAGGCGCAGAGGCTCCTCCACGCGAGGCGCCGCCTCACCTTGTAGTTATCCAGCCAGACATGCACCACGCGCAGGTAGTTACGCAGTATGGCTTCCTGCATCTCACGGCTGCTGCCTGGGAGATGGCTCCTGCTGATGTGCCCGACCCGAGAGCAGGGGATCACGAAGAGCTGGCCACCGCACATCCAGATCTAGACCCAGGAGAGACGAAAGCACCAGGATGTTTTTGCGAGTCACAGTCAGCTGCTGGTTGGTTGTGTTTACAAACATAATAAAAGCTAATACTTACTACGTTTCTTATTTCACTTAATCCTCACAGCAGCCTTATAGTGCTGATCCTATGATTTTTTTTTGAATGATTTGTATCTTTTTTAAAGAAGACTTATTTATTTATTTAATTCCATTTGTTATTTTTAATTTGATCAGAGAGAGAGAGACAGAGAAAGCAAGAAAGCAAGCCACCAGGTCCAGAACTCAAACCGTGGCTGGCCATGTGGGAATCCAGTGCCTTTAACCACCATGCCACCCACCACCCCGATCCTATAATTCTTTTTAAAGAATTACTTTATTTAACGTTATTTAATCATTTATTTGTTTATTCATTTATTTTGTTTAATTTGAGCAGAAAGGGACAGCGAGAGAGAGAGAGAGAGAGACAGAGAAATCAAGCTACCAGGTCCGGGACTTGAACCACAATCAGCCATGTGGTAGTCTAACGCCCCTAACTACCATGCCACCTTCCAGCACCCCTATAATTAAACAACAACAAAATAATTATTTAATTTGATCATTTTCAATTTGACCAGAGAGAGAGGGAGAGTGATCGTGAGAGAGTAAGCCCCCAGGTCCAGGTCTTGAAGCCTGGTCAGCCATGTGGGAGTCCAATGCCTTAACCATGGCACCACCTGCTGGCTCCTGATTCTGTGAGCGCCCCCATTTGATGTTAGGATTGATGAAGAAGTTCAGCCCACCGACACTACGGTGGAGCACAGGGTTCAGACTACAGAGTCAGCCGAGGGCCAGCACTCAGAGCGCGAAGGGCTCCGTCTTTCTCGGAATTCAGTGTGGCTGGGTGCAGACAGATTGCAAGAGCAGTGGGATCGTGACTGACCGCAAGCCTCCTTTTCGTGCCTATGATGCGACAGAAAATACCGTCACTGGAAAGTTGGCAAGTACAGGGAAGCACACAGAAGGAAACAGAAGTCATTTGTCTTAACACGCCAACTTAGCCAACATTAACTCAGGCGTGTCTGTAGACATGCATATGCAGAAAACATTAAGATACTTTCTTTTTTCATTTGATATTACGCGAAATTATTTAAAACATCATATTCAGGACCAGCTGTTGGCGTAATGGCCATATAGCTGGACTCATTTAGTGGATTGCGGTTCGAGTCCCAGACCTGGTGGCTTAAACTCACACCGGGCATATGTGCGTGCGTGCCCAAGATCCCAAGAGGAGAATGGAGGAGAAGGGATTGTGGCATGGTCATCCCCCTGGGGGGTGATTTCTCGCTTTCTGTCTCTCTGTCTCTCTCTTTCTGGTGAGCACACATGCTTATAGCAAAAAACAAAAAACAAAAGAAATTGTATTTTTGGACATTTTGGTAATATCCCATTTTTATTATTATAAATAACACCATAAAGAATGTGCTTGTGCACATGGTTTGTATGTTATAGTACGAGGGGTCTTCTAAAAGTTCACGGAAATTGCCTGTTATGGGGCCAGCCCATGGCATGGTGGCAAGGCAACTGAGTCCCACCTGGCCAGCTGTGCGGATCAAGTCCCAGACCCTGCGGCTTGAGAAACAGGCCGGGTGCATGTGCGTGTCAGACATCTCAAATGGAGAGAGAAACGGAAGAGAAAGGGTTATGGGGTGACCTTTCTCCTTGGAGATGTGCTTTCTCAATCCCCACTCCCTTCTCTTTGTCTGGAGAGCACACACACCCTTTGGAAATATTTTTTTTTCTTTTTTTGAGAAAGATTTTTGCTATAGAGCACATGTACTCACCAGAGACACAGAGAGAGAGACAGAAAGTGAGAAATCACCCCCTAGAGGAGATGACCACGCTGCAATCCCTTCTCCAATCTCCTCTCAGGATTTTGGATGTACACACATGAGTTTTAAGTCGCCGGGCCCAGGGCTTGAATCACAGTTGACTACATGGGAGTCCAGCGACATAACCGTTACCCCATCCACTGGTCCCTCTGACAAAAATTTAAAAAAAAAAGGAAAGAAAGAAAACGAAGATGCCTATTATGAAAAAAACCTATGCATGGATTTCAATTTTTTGCACTAATATAAAATTACACATTAATTCTATTTTCCCACAGACCTTTTTCTAACTGCCAGAGGGCACGTGCACTCACCAGAGGGAGAGAGAGAGTGGGGAGAGAGCACGACCCCCGTGGGGTATGGCCACGTCAATCCCTCCTCTCCGTTTCTCCACCCCGTCGGCATCTGGGCAAGCACCCACACGCATCTGGTGTTTTTCAACCCAGGCCTGGGATTCAAACCCTGGCTACCTGAGACTCGGCTCCACAGTGCAGTGCTGACCCCCGTGCGCTGTTAGCAGTCTCATCTCACACTTGCCAGGACTCTAACAAGGTGTCCTCTCGCAGTCCTCAAAGAGCAGCAGCGCTTAGGAGTTGGTTAGCAGTGCACGCCGTGGGCCCCTAGACCTCTGAATCAGAAGCCTGGGGCTGGGCCCAGCACCTGTGCTTGTTCTTTCTTTCAACATGGATTTTTTCCACAAACAAGAGAGAGAGAGATGAGAGAGAGCTAGCACCCCCCACAGGGAGCTGGTGACACGATCTTTCCTCGGGCTCCAGCCAGCCCGGGTCATAGGCAGGTGTGTGCCCGGCACACCATGGGAGGTCTCTGCACTGGAAATGGAAAACTTCCCACAACCTCTGTGCCTTAACCAGCTCTGCAGGTAATTGGAGGCACACTCAGGAACCTCTTGCCTCATTGATCAAGGTCATACATCCCATAGACCAGCTCTGTAGCATCATGGTTAAGTGGTGCACTTTAGGATCCCAGATCTCACATGGCCCGCTGTAGTTCGAATCCCAGTACCGGCAGCTGAAAACATGACATGCTTGTTTGTGGGCACCCAAAATCCTGACTACAAGTAGAGGGGGAGAAAAGGTGATTGTGGCACCAGCACCCCCAGTGGGGCGTGATCACACCCCAGCCCCTTCTCCAATTCTTCATGCTCCCACTTTGGGGGTAGAGGACATCCCTGACACACTGGCTTTGAGCTTATCTGTTCGACTCGCTTTGGCCAATGAACGAGAACACGCTGTGCGTGCAGAGGCCTAAACTGTGTGGTTTGGTTCGACCTGACTTCCGGATTCTCTCCGACCGGTATGAGGAGAGTGCATTGAGCTGCTGCAGCTCCGAGTCTGCAGACCACACCTGAAGGTGCTCCCAGCCAGGGTTGGTGCAGCACCCTGCGCTCTGAGGCACCGCACCCTGCCGACCATGGACGTGCGGAAGGACGGGGCTGGCCCAGCGCAGTAGTGTGTGCTGCTAGTCACTGCTACTTGGCAGGCTGAGGCCTCACGGAGGCCTGGTTCCATTTCCAGCTCACTCTAAAAGCCTGTGTCTGGCACGCGCATGCAGGCCCAGCCACTCAGAAGCTGAGGCAGCACGCTCACAAGGCAGCGAGACCCTCTTTAAACAGCAGCAAGACCAGCGCAGACTGTTTTAAGCCAACTGGTTTGAGCTGGTGCATTACCTAGCAGCAGGGCAGCAACAGCCAGCTGGTACCTAACACCCTTTGGCACAGAAACTCTGAGCACGTGGGCCGTGGAGCGCAGCCCACTGCGGCACTGGAGTGTCCCGGTTAGAGCAGGGAGGGATCAGGGACCCTGCTCCATTCTGCGTCCTGTGGCTGTCTGAGAGCTGGCGACACCATTTCCCTGTGGTGGGATTGCCCTTTGCACGCTGCAGCAGCCCAGGGGCTTAGCCACCGTGGCTGGATCAAAGCTGGCACCCATCCCTAGAATGCAGCATGGGGTGGCAGGTACAGCCCAGAAACGGGCTTCCCTAGGGGTATTCCTTGAAATGCACGCAGGGCCCAGTTCTGGGAGCAGCACACCTTGCCATGTCTTGGAGATCAGGGTAGAGTGCAGGTGCTGGGGACAGGAGAGTGAAGACAGCTGATCACGTGGGGCTGTTGGAGGCTGGCCTCTGCTCTGCCCCAAAGACTGAAGTGCAAGTGTGAAGCTGAGTTTGTGTGAGGCTTAAATGAACTGATATCTGTAAGATTTCAGAACAGTGTGCATCAGACATAATGAGAACTTGTTAAATAAAATATATCTTTTTGTTTTGTTTTAGATTTTTGCCACAGGACACATGCACCTGTCAGAGAGACATAGAGAGACAGACAGAGGGAAAGTGAGAAGTCACCCCTCAGGAAGGATGGCCACGCAATCCCTTCTCCTCCCCTCTCCTCCCAGGGTTTTGGGCACACACACACATGCCCAGTGTGATTTTCAAGCCTCCGTCTCTGAGACTCGAACCATGGTAAGTCATGTGAAAGTCCAGCACCTTAACCATCACACCACTTGCTGGCCACAGAGACTCCCTCTGGGGGGAAAAAAAAAGAAGAAGAAGAAAAAGGGGAGATAGAGTCAAAAACAAAAAACAAATGGAAAAAACCCATACAATCAAGACAAAAGAAGATCCATAGATAGAGTCAAACATTAGATATTCCATATATTAGAGGGAACAAAACGGCTGGCAAGAGAATCTAATCGTTCGCTGAAAGCAGTTTCACAAGGGGCCCTGTAGATTGTTGCCTGTGATGGGGAACTGGTACTGCGTCTTCACGTTCACACGGGAAACTGGCATAGCTATCCCAGCACACGTAACTTAGGTTAGAGTTCATTCCTTATGTACAAAGGCAGCTATTTTTTTAAGAAGCCTTGGGGCCAGCAGGAAGCATGGTGATTAAGGTGCTTGATTCCCACATGGCTGGCCGTGGTTCGAGTCCCAGATCAAGCAGCCTACCTTCTCATTTTCCCTCCCTGTCTCTCTCTGTTGCTCCCTAGTCAAATTGAAAAAAATGATAATAAAATTAAGAAAAAAAGAAGTCTGAATTACCCTTAGTGAAAGTTCCACATTTTCTCCTCCCCAAAATTCCATGCCCTTGTCATACTGTCCAATTTCATTAAAATAATGCTTGTCTATAGCAAATACTCCTCCAGGCATTGCAGGTGACCTAGAAAGGAGACACAACTATTAAACTGATTCCACGGAGCTAGTCATTGTGATTGTTTTCAAAACGATGTCGGTTAGAGATAGCTTACAGGTAAAACTAGAAAACAGCCATAACGATACCAAAATTATCTTAATAATACATTTAAATATATAAAAGTGCTAAACTAAATGCATTAAGTATGTAAAATTACTAAATTAAAACTACCAAAAAGTAGGCAATAACTTTTACTTTGCTTTGATCAAATTCTGTAGGTAATATAATCTAAAGGTTGTCTCGATGAGAAAGAAAACGGTGCCCAGAACACGAGCCTCCATGAGGGTGACCACTGAAGTGGGTAGTGGAGTTGGGTGCTCTCCCTTTCTGAGGGCGTTAAGCAAATGGTAATATTTACCTCTGGGAACACCACAATATCACGAAGCTTCCCCCTGCCAGCCCCCAGGTAGTAGAGCTCAATACTTCCAAACTAAATAGAGTTTGAAAATAATGACATGTTCGGGGTTGGCAGGTGGCATGGTGGTTAAGGGTGCTGGACTCCCACATGGCCGACTGCGGTTCCAATTCCGGACCTAGAGGTTTGCTTTCTCACTTTCTCTACTCTCTCTCTCTCCCTTTCTCTGTCCCCACTCTGGTCAAAAGAACATAAATAAATAAAGTTAAATAAAATAGTTCTTAAAACAAATAATGACATATTCATTCATTCATTGGTTGAAAAACATTTACTGAGTACTTAAAATGTATTAGGGATAAATCGGTAAATTGACGGTGAAAGGGTGGAAGTTGGGAGACCAGTTGGAGGTGTCTGTAGTGGTCCCAGAGAAAGAGCAGGGGACTCTGGATGAGAACAGCGGTGAGGGCAGTGGGACACGGTAACATTACTGACGTGTCCTCCAGGTGGAGCCCACAGATTCGCTCAGGGGTAGGATGTGGGCATTGGAGGAAGAAGAGAACCAAGGCCGACACCAACGTTTTCATCCTGAGCGCCTGGCAGGTGGAGTTGCCATCCACTGCAGTGGGACATGTCCTCGTTGGAGCAGGATTTTGACAGGAAGATTCTGCTCTGGACATATTCAAGGTGCCTATTCAGCATGAAAGTGGAGAGGCCCAGAGGCAATTGGATGAGTCATACACCGGATGTCTCTAGTTCTGAGACAAGTTGGGCTAGAGACATGAATTTGGGAGTTTTCCAAACCATGAGCTGAATAAACTTCTGTCTCTTAAGTTACTGTCTCAGGTATTTTCTATTGTTAGCAACAGAACAGACAAGGCAGCTGGGATTTTGTTGATTAATCAACATACAACTTAGAGTGTAGTCCACATTCTGAAGATGGCCACCTCAGATCAGGAGAGAGCTAACCACAGTGTTTTCCTGAACTGAGATAAGATGTACATTTTCAATTGAAGAAACTTAAAATCTATCACATTTCAGTATTATTATTATTATTATTATTATTGCTTAAGGGTGCCAGAGATGGGGAGAGAGAAAGGACCCTTCCTCCCCTCGTGGGGCTCGATGATAACCCAGTCCTTTTCTATCCACTTCTCTATTCCAGCAGGATTTGGGCACATATGCCCATGGGCCTGGCATGTATCCTAACCTGCAGGTGCTGGGCCCATGGTTGGTCACGTGGACTCTGGCTCCCAGTGTACTGTGCTTAACCGCGGTGCTACAGGGCTGGCCTCCAGGTTCCACTATTAAAGACTTCTGGAAACAACTAATGAAACAACACGCTTCTCTTCATTCAGTCCACGAAATTGAGAGAATATCTCTTGAATTTTTTTTGGGGGGGGTGTCCCCCACACAACAGAAGAAATCTTACCGGATTGGCTTAGTAGGTCCCTCTGGTCCATCCATCTCGTAAGAGAAAACAGTATCCCATTTAAAGTGTAGATTCCAATCGAACACCCCCCTCACCACAGGAGAGGGCTTGTACTCCAGGGTGCGTTCGTCGATGTAGTCCAGCAGGGGGCACACCACCACTTTGGGGTCCTTGGAAATGGCGTACAGCAGGGGCTCCAACCACACTTTATTCACTTCGCAGTGGCTGTCTAGGAACACCAGAACGTCCCCTGGATGGCAAGAACAGGCCTGTTAGTCCGGATGGGTGACGTGTCGGCAGCGCGAATCGAAGTTCAATGCAATACGTATTTGGTAAGCATTTGTTTACTATGAGTTTGGCTCTTAAGGAAAACAAGAAGTACATACCATGCTGTATAAAAATGTGCCACAGACATTGAGAGAAAGCCAATGAACTGTGGGTTAGAACGGTTTGGGGGAAATTCTAAAGAAGCAAGTAGAACTAGACAGGGCCCCAATTTAAAAAAAATGTCATTTTGGCTTGGCCTTGACTGGCCAACTGAATTTGGAGAGTCTGTATTGAGATGATACCTTCTTAGGCATTGAGTTTGCCCATACCCATCGGACAAGCGTATTTGGTATACAAAGATGCATACTTAGTTTTTGCTCTTGAGTACTAGCTTTATATTTTTAAAGAATTATTTATTTAATTGTATTATAACTTATTAATTTGATGTAAGGTATGCACACTCACCAGAGGGGTGGGGGGATGAGAAAACAAGTCACTAAGTCTGAGACTTGAACTGTGGTCGGCCATGTAGGAGTCTAGTCTGCTTTGTCATGTAAATTTAGTATCTTACTCAGAAAAGCTCCATATTAGTTGGCATGTGGCACAATTTTAAACTATTTTTCAATTTACAGTATTACATGTATGATCTTTTGGGATCAAACTGTCAAAGTTGTAACTACTTAAAGCTTTCAATGCTAAGGGTTGAGAGTACACCAGATGTGATGAAGAAGACATAGTATCTGTACAGGGGAGGAAGACTTTTTTTTTTTTTTTTTTTTTTCTTTTCAGAGAGATTGTTGCTATAGGGTGTGTGCACTCATCCAAGACACAGAGACAGAGAGAGAGAGAAATTACTATTACGATTTTCATTTCACAGGCTAAAGACTCATGTGGCTGGAATTCATTCCCTGCATTCTGATGGAACTGGTGGAGACGGGGAGTCCGTGGAGGTCCTTTCTGTGAGGGAGGGAAGGCCACCGGCCTAGAGACCAGGGGTGCTCATACCCACAGCGTGAGATGCTCCAATCATCCTGGATCGAATCAGCCCCTCTCTCTTTTTGTTTCTTATTAATTTAATCTTTCCCCGGAATAGTTCCAGCTGATGGTTTAGTCTTTCTTTCAAATCATCTAGAAAAATATTCAACACTCGATGTTTATAAGTTGCAATATCAGCAATTAAGGCAGCTTATTATCACGATTGATTCCTAAAAGCCATGTTGTCCCAAAGAAATTTTAACTTAAAAAAATTTTATTTTATGCAAGGGAGAGAAAAAAAATGAGTCACTGTCAAATGAACTGCTGACTCTTTTCCTGAACTCCTAGTGAAACACCTCTAGTCGCTGTTAATTTAATTGTTAATATAAAACGTGTGTATGATGGAGCTTTGGTCCAGTCCGACCCTGCCCCGGCGATGCCAGTACTGTAACCAAATGTGCTGGTCGTGTTGCAGGGCTCGAGGGCAAGTTGTCGATCCACTGGGGTCTCAGTTTCCTCGTCTGTGAGGACAGATGTCCACCATGTACCTGGTAGCACCCCACTGAGGTGCAAGACCCCCCCCCACCCCAGCAGAAGGGCTGGTCCCTGCTAGACACTCGACGTCCTTGAAGGCTGCTACGAGGATGCTAAGAAGCTGGGACCAGGTGAGGTGTCACTAAGGCCTGGATGCTTAAGTCCCAAGAATCTGGAGCCTGAAGCTGTGGATCAATGGGCCCAGTTCCTGGGAATCTTGGCAGAAGGTGGGGCGCCTTCCTTTTCTTCAATAAGAGTCCAGGGCCTTGCTCAGTGGGGTGCTGACTGTGCAGCTTCACCTGGGGCGGGGGTGCAGGGGGACACGTCGGAACCCAGATGTCCACACGTACCTCGCCAGCATCCAGGACACAGGGGACTCCGGGGGCCAGTCTTGGAGGAGATAAAGGCGGTTCTGGCACGTAAGAGTAATTGGGCCGAAGGGCAAAGTGATGGCAGCAGGTCCGTGGTGCTCAGTGGGTCCCCGGCTCCCCGGGCTATGCTCCCTCTTGCCTCTGGGTCTTTAAAACGCTGCTCTCTCTACCAAAGCACTCATTCCTTCCTGTCCGTCTGGGTAACTCCAGCTCGCCCTTCAGCCCTCCGTTTAGGTGACCCTTCCTCCTGACGTGGTCCCTAACGACAAAGCTGGTGCCCCATGTCTATCTCATAAAAGCCAAAAGTGCCCCATTAGCCCTGAGGCCCCAGGACAGGGACCTGGTCTCCCACACCCACCAGCGTCCTGGCAGCCCCTAGTGCAGTCCCTGCTCCATCTCCATCCCAAATACTTTTGTATAAAATACTCCAGCCTCATCCGGGGGAGTACCACTTACAAAGCCGACTGGGCGGTCGTGTTCCTTCTTACCGAACTCACTCATGTCATCCACCAAGATGATTTCCTCAAGATAATGGTCCGGAGTGAGAGTCATGATGCTGGACAGCGTCCGGAACAAAGCGTTGAATTCTTCATTATGGAAGCAAATGACGATGCTGGCGACAGGGAGGCGGAAGGGGTAACGCTTCTGAGCACACCTGCGGGCGTAAACCACAGGGAAGAAGCCTGAGCCAAACGTTTGCCTCGGATGTTTGGGGTTTTATTAAAACACCTTTTCTTATTCTTATCTTCTTTCTTCTTTACTCCTTCAGTCAGTGATTATGATAAGATAGACAGTACATCTAAAAATACAAAAATTAAGATACAAAAGCTTCTTTTACTTCTTATACTGTTCTATTACTCTCTTCTTCATTTTAAAAGTGTCAGTAATAATTGCTCTTTCCTGAGACTCTTTGTTGATAATCTTAGTTCTATTTTAAATGTAGTAGTAACACAAATTCTATTCTTATTTTAGTTTCTATTATAAAAATGGATGATTAGACTCATATACATTGAACACGTCCCATTGGGCCAGCAGGTGGAATAGTGGTTAAGGTGCTGGACTCCCACATGGCTAGCTATGATTCGAGTCCTGGACCCAGTGACTTGAAAGTGAGAAATTACCCTCTGGGGTAGGCCACACTGCTCACCCTCTTCCTCCGCTCTCCTTCCAGGGTTTCGGGCACTTATGCACACACACCAGCATGTTTTTCAAGCCTAAGTTCAGAGCTCAAGTCCCAAAGGCAGCCATGTATCCTTAACCACCACGCCACTTGCTGGCCCCGAAAGGTCAAATTTATTTTATGTACATTGTATAAAAAGGCATTTATAAAAAGGCATTAACACAAATGACTGAAGGAACCATTAAAAAAACAAAAACAAAAAAGCAGACCTTAAAGGAAAATAATATGGAGCTCTCCAAAGCATTTCCTAATAGGAATGAATCCTCTTCTGGCCATAAGCCCAAACAGGTGATTTAACAGAAAAAGATCTGTTTCCAAGCTCTTGGAAACCTCTAGAACACATGCAGTGCCACGTGGGGAGGTATTCTCTGCACAGTAGGTGTCAGGGTCCTGAAGGGTGATCTTAATATTATCTGACTGTAAGCCCTAAAAATAGGAACCTTTAGTACTTCTATACTATGCTGAAATTAAAATCCAGTTAGTAACTGGCTTTTTAAAAATAGGAAAGAAACATACATTTTATCCCTGGTATCTGGCACATTTCTATGGTTGCCCAAGATTTTACTGATGATGGTATTAAATCCATATTTTAAAAAAGCATCATAAACATCTGGATCGACATACTCAGAATCCTCACCTGCAAGAAAAGGTAATGGGGACTCACATCAGTAAGGCTCCTACTGTCACTACTGTCACACTGATACAGGCCAACAGGAGCAGCTGTGTCCCGAACTCACTCCTCTTATAAGGAACCTAGATTGCTTTCTTGGAATCTAAACTCTCCCAGCTGACAGTCTAGTGGAGGAAGCACCCAGCCTTTACACAAGTCAGGGCAGATTCCCCAGCAAACCATGCGCCACAAGCTGCTCTCAGTCACCGTCTTCACAGTGGGATGTTCGGCTTCCTCGGTTCCACTGAGAGTCACAGCTGTGGTGAGACATTACGGTGACAGAGGACCTAGGAAAGGTGGGAGAATGAGAGCTGGACTCTCCCAGAATTGCGCTAGAGGGACTAAGACAGAGGACAACCCAGGCAGGAGCAGCTGGAACAGGACACGAAGCTGGAGGAAATTCCCTATGAAAAGACAGGAACTTGGGCTGCACAGTGGTACCACGATAAGCTGCAGTGCCCTGTGAGCAGAGCCTCATGGCAACGTTCTGGGCTTACTTCTGGGTGTCTGGGGTGTGTGCGTGCCCATGACCCAGGACCGCCTGCGGCCGGGGGTGGACTGTGGCATCAAGGCCTTGGGGTGCTACTCTATCTCTCCGTCTCTCTCTATCACAGAGGAGATAAATCAATAAACTTTAAAAATACATGCTAAGTAGGGACCAGCAGATGGCATAGAGGTAATGTTGCTAGACTCCCTGCTGTGGTATGAGTCCCAGACCCGGTGGTTTAAAAATCACACTGGATGCGCATGCAGGTGTGTGTGTGTGTGTGTGTGTGTGTGTGTGCACGCGCGTGTTCACTGTAACTATGAAAATTTCTTCTGGGATCAGCCAGGTGCTGCCGTGGAGGAGTCTGACCCAGTGAGGCCCCAGGATTTGTCTGAGCCCCCTGACCTTTGAGCTCCGCTTCTGGTCGGATTAACACGTTGGCAAGGCTACTGTTGTGCACCCCCTGACCTTGGAATAAAGCTTGGGTCAGTTAGCATGTCAGCAAGGCTGCCTGCTATTTGCTCTAGAGAATTGAGGCAGCCTCACTGGGAAGCGACCCCCCTCTGACTCCCCAATTTACTATTATAAAAGAATTGCATAGCTCTCTTATACATTCTGAGTATATAATAAAATCTTTTAGGAAGTCCCCGACCGCTCCCCTTTCTTTTGATTACTTATTATTAATTACAATGCTTTATTTCTATGGTTACAATAGAGGGTGGGCTAAAGTTCTTTTTAGGCAAAAATAATTTTGACCTTTGGAAGGCCCTTAAATTCTTCCTTTCTTTATGTACAATAGGATTAGGCCAAAACTGGCCCAGGACACCTCTGCCCTCTCTAAGTGAAATAGATAAATGTATTAGGACTCCTTAAATTAAGTTTTAGATCCCTACAAAACTGTGTATAAGTACCATTCTTTATTAAGAGCCATAAGAACTAATATCTATTCTTGAAATTTTCTTTTCTCAGCACCATTCCCAGTAATCAAAAAATGGCTGCTGCACCGCATCAGCTGATAATCATCTCTGCTTACCGAAACCGCTTTCCCAAAACTGCATTCCATGAAAACCCACCTACAATTGAAAAACTGCACTAAACCCACCCTTAATCCACCCCTAAATAGAATCTATGTTTTATTGTTAAAAGACTTTATGAGCTGATAATTAAAACACGTAGCCCCTCTCCCATTTACTTGTATGTAACACATTTTCAATAAAAACGCACGATAATTCCTAGCAGTTGTCACTCCTCAGAGAGCGATCTCTGAGGGGTGTCCGGCATAGGACGTGCATAAAAGGCATCGAGGCCTCTGTCTTCTGTTCACCTTCGCCGCCTTCGTCGAAATAACCCACCCATGCCGAGGCTGGACCCCGGCACTGCCGTCCGTAGCCAATCAGACAGAGGTGCTGGAAGCCACATGACTGACCGCCAGTTCGGATCCTGGTCTGACGGAAAACATTCTGGGCACCTGAGATCCCACGGGAGCTGGGGGGACTGGGGAAGGGACTGCAGCATGCTGAGACCCTGTCCAGCACCCCTTCATTTCTCTGTTTCTCTCTCTCTCGTGCATTCATATGTGCTCTATCAAAAGAAAAAGTATTTGGAGCAAATATTTAAAAATGAACTATATAAAATGAACTATATAAAAATGTCCAAATGAGGTGGTGAATACATGCATGCCTTTGTATTACTTTTTGTGTATTAATATATATTATATATGAAATATTGCACAATTTAAAAAGTAAATTGCTCTAGAAAGGACATTCTCTTACTTTTAATATTAAGTTTGTGATGTGACGTATTTTTGCTTTAAAGTGATTAAGATAAAACGTCAAAATACTCACCTGATACAGAAGACGACGTTTGTTTTCTAGGATCAGCTCTGTAAGGTGTTTTGTCTGTTACTTGTGGCTTTGTTACCTGCTCTGAGCTGTCGATAATTTTCTCTTGCACATTTGTTTTAAGGGTCAAAAAGTCTGAGCGTGTCACTGGGATGTTGTTCTTCTGGTTGTTCACATGGCTATGGTGAACATACACGAATAACAGAGCCGTCCAGATCCCAAATGTCAGGGAACCATAAAATAAGCGCCGGACGACGGTGTCTCTCATTGTGGACTAGCATTTCCAAAGGGCCGTGTCCACCCTAAACGAGAAGGATGTAAGAGAAGCAGTCTTCGATAGTCCGATGGTTGGTGCATCATCACTTGGCTTGCTTTCAATTCTCAGTGTCTACAGGTGGAATCATTTTGCAACAGTCCTCATCATGCACATAAAACATATCTTTTTCTATTAGCAAGAACTCTTTTGATTTTAAAGAGGGACTTTTGCTATACGGCGTGTGTGCTTGCCAGAGACACAGAGAGAGACAGAAAGCAAGAAATCACCCCCTAGGGGGATGGCCATGCCACAATCCTTTCCCTCCATTCTCCTCTCAGGATTTTGGGCACACATGCACTCATGCATCCAGCGTGAGTTTCAGATCCAGGACTCAAATTGTAGTTGACCATGTGGGAGCCCAGTGACATAACCATCATGCCATCTGCTGGTCCCATAGCAAAGACTCTTAAAACTGATATTTGTAAGATATAAACATATAACATGTTTATGCAACATATGACATATTTATAAAACATACAGTATCATTTAAAGCCATTGGCTCATACCCTTGACCCCAAAATTCAAATGATGTCAAAGAAGGGTTACTCACCTCTTAACCAATTCTTGATAGTCTATAGGTCTCTAAAAAAATCCAATTTGACACGAGGTTGTTGAAAAACAAACAAACAAACAAATAAACAGAACACACAAAACCCCCCACCATGATGACATTACATACTGCAGAGAAAGTGGGCAATGCGACCCTCTGTGGATGGGACCGTCTAGCCATCTGGGCAGCAGCCAGCATGGCGTGTGATGCAGCGGTCCCATCCTTAGAAATACATCCTTAGGCGGCATGGTGGTTAAGGCACTGCACTCCCACATGGCCGACTGCAGTTTGAGTCCTAGGCCCTACAGTTTAAAAATCACACAGGGCTCGGGTGTGAGTGCCTGGGATCCTGATAGAAGAGTAGAGGATTGGGGATTGCAGTGCTGTCACCCCCACCCAGGGGGAGGTTTCTCACTTGCTGTCTCACTGTTTCTCTCTGGAGAGCACATGCACCCTATGGTGAAAACCTAAAATAATAAAAGTAAAGAAAGAAATGCATCTTTCAGGGACCAGAACAGCAGAAGTAACGGTTATATTGCTGGACTCCCAAGTAGTCAACTGTGGTTCAAAACATGCCAGGCGCCTGTGTGGCTTAAAACATGCCAGGTGCAGGTGTGTGCATGTCCAAATTTGTGAGAGGAAAATGGAGAAGGGATTGTGGCGTGGTCATTTGCCCTGGGGTGATTTCTCGCTTCTATCCCTGTCTCTCCAGTGAGCGTATGCGCCTAGAGCAAAGACCTCTCAAAAAAAGAGAAAAGAAGAAATACGTCTTTCAAGAGACTCATTAAATTAGATACAACTTTCATCTAAAGCGATGTCATGAGACGCGTCCCACAAAGTTTGCTGACGTGTTTGTAACAGTGACAAACTAGACATGGCTGAAGTGTCCCGTAGGGTGAGCAGTTCCCTCAGTGAGGAAATGGGCCGGCTGGAGCCGCGTGCGATGGTATTGAAGGATAAAACATCCTGTGCCAAAGGAGATGGGCGTGCTGCAAACCCAGGCAACACGGTGCTAGGAGAGCCACGTGTACAAGCCACGGGCCCGCTCACACAGACGAGTGCAGACTGGCCCGGCGTGGACCTCCGCGGGAACGCACGCCCTCCCCGCACTTCCTGCCCTCTTCACAGAAGCTCTGAAGCAAGCATGACAAACGGCGTGGTCCGAGGGAGCTTGCTGGTGCAGAGTGCCCAGGATAATTTCCTGTTTCCTCTATCTATGAAAGCCTTCATAATTTATTTTTAAAAAGAAAGGGAGGAAGAAAAAAAAGAGGAAAAAGTCTCGAAAGGCTTCCTTTTAAAATGATGGCTTAGGGGCCAGCAGGTGGTTAAGGCATGGTGGTTAAGGCACCGCGGTTTGAGTCCCAGACCTGGCAGCTTGCTTTCCCTCTTTCTTCTCTCTGTCTCAGTCTCTCTCTGGTGAGCACATGTGCCCTGTAGTAAATTTGACAACAAATAATAATGAGAGATAAAATGAAATAAAATAATTCTTAAAAATAATGCATTAAATACCTGTGTCTGGCTCCTCTCCCTCGACTCAACTATGAAAACGTGCCACATCTCGGGGGGAGGGGCCTGTGTGTTTGGAAGACAGGACGTGTGATCGGGTCATGTGAGCACAGGAAGACGAGGAAGTCAGGGCCCAAAGCGTGCAGTGGAGGGCCGTGCAGGGGAACGAATCTGGCTGCCCCGGCCAGATGCGGCTCAGAGGCTCCAGGGAAGCCAGGGCAGGATCCAGAAAGGCTGCACGTCTCGTTCAGAGCAGTCCAGGCAGCGACCGGGCAATTCTCCTGCAGAAATGGAACTGCCGGGGCCCAGCAGGAAGCCCAGAGCTGCAGTCTGGAAGGCGGCTGGGAACGTGGGGATGTGGAGCATCTGGCTTGCCCCGTCCTCCTTCCCATCTCTCCTGCCGGCGCCCACAGCCAGACTGTTCCCCAGGAGGTGGGAGGGGGGGCAGTCTATGATGAGAGGACAGGTCCCAGAGAAAGGTCTCTGCACCCGAAAATGTGAGAACTCCCTGCACACGCAGCAGGGCTGCAGCGAGCCCCACCCTAGAGGCCCCACTCGGCTAGTGTGTGTCTCGCATCCCAGCTGGGATGAAATTGTTGCCGTTATGAACTGAATTCTGTCTCCCAAACTCTCTCATGTCAAAGCACTGACCTCCGATATGCCTATATTTGGAAACAGGGCCTTTAAAGAGGTGATAAATGCAGTCAGAAGGCAGGTCCTAACAGGACCGGTGTCCTAATGAAAGGAGCAGCAGAGGCCCAGGCAAAGACCCTGGTCAAGCACGTCTCCCTGAGCAACGAACACTTTACGGGTGAAATGTTTGATCATGCAAAGAAAAAGTAGCCAACGTGTAAGAAGATAGTGTCTAACAGTGGATTAGGAAAATTGAGAAGAGAATGCAGTTGCTTCTGTTGTTGTAAGCTTTGCTATAGGGAGTGAGCACAGGAGAAAGACGGGGAGAGAGGGAAATGAGAAGCGCGACCTCGGGGATGGCACGCCGCAGTCCCTTCTGCACGTCTCCTCTTGGGGTTTTGGGCATGGCACGTGTGCTTGGAGTGCTCCTCACACTGCCGTGTCTGGGGCTCCAACAGCACAGTCAGCCCTGTGGTTGACTTAACGCCACCTTAACGCCAGGCGGCCAGCTGGCCCCATGACATCTTCCAGTAAAGGTCTAAATCTTGAGGAACTTCTGTGTTAACTTTCTCCCCAAACCAAAGCTATTAGAAACGAGATAAAGGAGGACAGAGGTGAGGAGGCCATCATATTTAATATGCAAAATATGCATGTGTGTTTATGCGACAAGGTTATTACTGAAAATAAATCCATGTTCTTTAGCGGGATAATAATATAAGATCATGTTTGTGGAACATTCTTTGGACATTAATGAACACATCTGAAAATGCTCTGTCCTCATCTCCTTATTTTTTTAATCTAGGTCCTTATCTTTTTTTAAAAAAATAATTATTAAGTTAATTAATTAATTTTAATTTGACCAGAGAAGGACAAAGCATGAGAGAGCGAGAGAGACGGAAAGTGAGAAAGCAAGCCACCAGGTCCAGGACTCGAGCCGTGGTTGGCCATGTGGGGGAGTCCAGTGCCTTTAACCACCATGTCACCTGTCAGCCCCATTATATTATCTTCTTGAAAAAATTCTTTAAAAATAGTTTTCCTTTAGGGTATGTGTGCTCACTGGAGAGAGACAGAGACAGTGAGAGAGTAAGTGAAAAATCACCCCTAGTGGGGATGATCACACCACAATCCCCTCTCCCCTGTTAGCCTCCTAGGGTCTTGGGTATGCATGCACACACGCTCAGCACAATTTTGAAGCCACCAGGTCCAGGACTCAGATGCGGTCAACAAGGTGGGAGCCCAGCCATGTCACACTGTGCCATCTGCCGGTCCCTCCTATATCACCTTTTCTTAAAGCAGAGCTCAGCCCGGTCCTCAGGAACACACGCTTCACTGCCCACCCCGTCCCTGGCATCCCACAGAGCACAAAGACCCCTCCTACCAGAGCCAGATCGAAGAGGTGCTCTGTCCTCAGAAGAAAATCATGTTTAGTTCTTCCCTTCTATGCTGAATTCAGACACTAGACAAATACAGAGTAAATTTGTAAAACATATTTCAATAACAGTTTGTATGCATAGCAAATTGGATTTTAAGTGAATTAAAGGCACTGACGAGTTAACTAAAAGAACCCCATAAAAAAAGAAGAGAATACAGCAAATACTCACCAGCACATGCACAGACCAAACCCTGCACTAGGTCTAAACGCCCACTCAGTTACTTTCCTCGGGAGACTGTGGTGCCAGAAACACGTGGCCACGCCTCAGAGAGCCTCGCAGGGAGTCTACTGTATACTCCCGGAGCCCCAGCTTTGCTGAGACACTCTGGTTTTTGTTTTATGCCAGAGGGTGTACATACGTAAGAGAATGAGAGAGAGAGAGAGGAGAGGAGAGAGAGAGAGCACTCACACAGAGGCTGGTCATGCTACACCCTTTCTCCTCCAGCTCTCCATCCCATCAGGATCCTGGGCTCACACCCAGCCTGTAAGGCATTGGTGTTGGAACTCAAACCCCGGCTGGCCACGTGGGATCCAGCCTCTGCACACCAGTTACCACGGCACCGCAGGACTCGTTCACCTAGGGCAATCTTAATATCTCCATGTGAGACCACAGCTTTGAGACTGCTAAGGGCCTTTCTCTAAGGCATCCGAGGAAATAATACATTTTCTTAGTATCTTTTTTTTTACTTGCCAGAGAGCGCGTGTGCTCATGGGGTGGGGAGAGGAAGCACTCCCCAGTGGGACACGGTCACGCCACAATCTTCTCTCCTCCATCTCTTCATCCTGCCAGGATGTGGGGCACGTGTGCATTGCACTCAGCACGTCAAAAGGACAGGGGCAGGATTTGAACGGCAGCTCGTCGTGTGAGATCAGGCTCCCTCAACCTCTCGGCTACAGGGCTAGCCAGTATAAATTTTAAGAGCACAAACAGGTGTGGCCAGCAGGTGGCATGGAGATTAAGGCACTGGACTCTCACATAGCCTACCACAGTTTGAGTCCCGAATCCAATAGCTTGAAAATCAATCCGGGCACCTGTGTGCACAGGCCCAAAATCCCAGGAGGAGAATGGAGGAGAAGGGATTGCAGTCGAGGAGTGATTTCTCACTTTTCTTCTGTAGAGTCTCTCTCCAGCAAGCGTACTTGCCCTATGGCAAAAACCTAAAATAAATAAATAAATACAGGGCACAAAAAGGTATAGCATGAAAATTGGCTGTTTTTCAAGAACTGAAGCCATTGCAATGATTGGTCTGCCTCTGGGTGGCATTACCAGCCAGGTAGTCTTCTTAATCCTGAAACCCAGAGCTAGCTAGCATCTCACTCCAGACAGTGTTTAGACCAATCGGTGGTGTGGGGGTTGAGACAGCTGCATCTCACACGGCTGTGTGGTTCCCGTCCCAGACTGGAAAAACACACGGGGAGCATGTGAGTGCGTGCTCAAAGTCCCAAGGGGAGAACGGAGGAGAAGGGATTGCGGCATGGTCATCCACCTGGCCTCTCTCTTTCTGTCTCTCTCTGGTGAGCACATGCGCCCTATAGCAAAACTAAAAAAAAAATAAGTAAATTTAAAAAATTAAAAAAATAAAAAAGAAAGAAAGAAAGAAAAAGAAAAAAAGAAAACCCTCTGATTTCATGCTCTGCTTCCACTGATTCTTGCTGAAAGGCGTTTCCCCTGCCCTGTTTCCGCTTTCGTGCACCCTGGGCTCACTCCACCTACCGTCGAGGTGGGTGCTCGGGTGGCTTTGTAACTGATGTGTTTTCCACGCAGAGTCATAGGCAAAATGAGGCAGGGATCCGTGCTGAATGAACAGAAAGACGTGGTTTTCTTCCTGGATGGCAGATCTTATGGTACCTGGATTCCCAGCAAGTTCCTCAGTGTGCCTGAGCGCCCCTTCCCTGTGGCTGTGCTCGAAATGCAGCCTTGACCACCTCACAAAGCCGATGACATCACAGTGGGCGTGCTCAGTCCGAGCCCCGTCTGTAAACCCCACCAGCTGGCGGAATCTACAAGTTCCAAAGCTAAAAGGATCTTTTATGAAAGATTTAAAAAGTCTTACTCCCCAACCAAGGAAACAGAGAAAGTTGAAATCCAGGGTGGGACCAGTTGATGGCGTAGTGGTTAAGGTGCTGGAATCCCACATGGCCAGCCACGATTCGAGTCCCAGATCTGGAGGCTTGAAACTTATGCTGGGCTTGTGTACATGGGTGCCCAAGATCCTGGGAAAAGAGCGGAGGAGAAGGATTGAGGCATGGTCACCCCCCAGGGGTTATTTCTCACTTTCCTTCTCTCTGTCTCTCTGGTGAGTGCATAATCCCTATAGCAAAAATATCTCTAAGAAAAAAAAAAATCAGGGTGATTCCCTTGTGTAGGCCAGGCCTAATTTTCAGCTCTTAAATGTGAAGAAAAGGACATGCTTTCAGAGTACCTCAAGAAACTGAAAGGGTATGGAGGCGGTAGGAAGTTTCAGGGCTGCGTTTTGGTTGACCCCTCCACAATGACGAATTCAGGAACACATGTAAGATTGCTACTAACTGCTACGCCTACCCAGCCCGGATTACACATGCAGGCCCAGGGGAGGGGCTGCCTTGGTAAATTCTGGTATCACCTGTATGCTGAAGGGCTCCATTCTCACAGGAAGATCCCGAAGGTGTTCGGACCCTCTGAAATCTGAGCCAGACACCAAGCCTAACGGTTCTTGACAGAGCCTTTGAGAAGGGTAATTCCCTCTTCCAGAGCAAAGCCACCCTAACAAATGGCTGAAAGTTCTTTCGGGGAAGGAAGGGGTGACTGTGTCACATGTACTTGCAGTGGCCTTGCCAGGTCCTTGCCCAGGACTCCCTGCAATAGCTCTGGGTGTGCGGACTCACCCACGGAAACCTGACTCTGATACAAAAACTCGGCCAGAGACCATGATCTCCCATCTCAGCAGCTGAAGTTGGCCTTCGGCTTGCTAGCTTTTAAATGTTTAAAAATAATCCGGTAGCCTAGGAGTTAAAGGAGTCAGATCCTGCGTGTCCAACCTCAGTTTGAATCCTGGCTTTGGTGTCTTGAAAACCCGCCCCCTTGTTTCTGCATAAGATGTGCCCCAGAACCCGCTGAGAAGGGGGCGGGGGGCGGGGGCAGAGATACCACAGGTGTGGCACCATCACTGACCGCCTGGGTACAAAGGTCTTTGGCTCGTTATTTCAGCATGTCAAGGCCTTGCTGGAACAATGCTGGCCACCGGCTTCTGCCCTGCCCCAGTCCATTCTGGGATCTGTTGTCCTTTGAGAAGTGTCCTTTTGGGAACTCAAAGAAAATGCATTTGCTAATTGGGATGAGGGGTTGGGGAGACAGGAGGGTTCCTGGAAGGACATTCAGCAAATTTACATGAAAAATCCAAAATAGACCCAAGAAACACACCAGAGGCCCAGGACTAGGGGCTGGGGACCGGGCAGCTGTCTCTGCTCCTGGGTGGTGCGGCCCCCCACAGTGTCACCCTGCTCCCCATGCCTCGGCTCCCTGGCCACCCCAGGCCCACTAGACATTGGGCTTTTCCCAGCTTCAATGTCCCCGGCCTCACACTCTGCTCTCCTGCATCTCTTTATTCTGCCTTCGAAGTCATTAATTTAATCTTACAATTTTCCAAGAAAGGAATCTTTCTGAGCCAGACAAGACACCTGCCAAGTCGTTGGCATCCTTGTCCATGGGCTGTCCTGAGCCATCCTCAGCGCTTGCTCCCCATGGTGGGGACAGGGACACAGCAATTTGAAGACCCGAGGCGGTTTAATTTTTTCTTTCTCTGATATGTATATATATATATGAAAGAAATGCTTAAGGGAAATGGAAAATAATTATATCTGTATGTATAGGTATAGATAGATAGCTTACATATAATATATATGTTACATATTATGTATATATCTGTAATATGTTGTATATATCGCTATATAATTTTTCCACTTCCCTTTTCTCCATATCACTTATATAGAGATACATGACATATATGGTATGTATCTCTCCGTTTTTTTTTTTTTTCCTACTTCCCTTAAACTTCCCTCGGTGGTTCGGGCTTCTCTTGCACGGATTGCCTACCTACGTCCTGACTCTTCTCCAGTTCCCGCCTTTTCCTCGTTGATTTACACGAGTTCCTTGAATGTTGTAGGTGGCAGCCCTCGGTCAGCTGTCCTGCGAGGTGCTCCCCTAGTCTGCCGTCTGCTCTTTAACCTTGCCCCTGGGCCCTCGGTAGACCAGACATCTTTAGTTTTAATGTAAGAAACATCGTTAATTTTGTGTGTCCTTATGGCTCCTGAGGTTTTATTTAAGAGGTCCTTTCCCACTCTCGGATCACAGAGAAACTCGCCTCGTTTTACTGGGTAACTGGTGTTTTCCCGAGCACATTCAGTACTGAATCCAGTTTGAGTAGTCTTGGGTGATGTGGGGTGGTTTTTCCTCCACGCGGCGACAGCCTCCGGGCAGCCACAGGTAGCTCGCCCCTCCTCACATAACGCTGGCCCGCGCTCTAGGCTAGCTCCGAGCTCCCTGCTCTGTGTCTCTGGCGCATTTTGCCCTTCGTTTTGGATTCTGCCTCCATCCCTGGTTGGGAGACATTCAGCGAGAGACAGAGACAGGACGCTGGAGCTTTAGCAGGAAAACATGCTCGCACCGGCTCAGCGGATTCGTGTCCAAAGGCTGAGCCCCAAATTCTTTGGGGATGCTTCCTTTATCTTGTTTAGCTTTTGTGTCGCTCATACATAGTTACATCATACTTCTACATGTTCCTCATCTGCCCCAGAACTATGCAGGCATATACTAAGATGCTGGCTGTTAGACACGCAGGCGTACGCGAAGTCACTGCTAGGTTGCTATCAGGGCTACGAGGTCACTAAACATTGCTAAGCTGCTATGGGGACAGGGCTACAAGGTCACTGCAGGCTGTACGTGCGGTTTTAAGTACTAAGAATGCCCGTTATCTTCCTTGGTCCTGGAGGCCCACCACCACACCCTAATTAGGCAAGGTGATGCTGCTACTCAGTGACTCTTGTTTTTTCACAGAATAATCAAGTAAACTTTTCAAAGTCCTTAATTGGATGCTTGTAGCCATCCCCCCTCCCCCCGGGGTGGGTGATTTCTCACTTTCTGTCTCTGTCTCTCTGGTGTGCATACATGCCTTATAACAAAAATCTCTTAAAAAAACATTCTGACGAAAGGAATAAGTAGCCAAACTGTCTAAGTGGAAAGGAAGGTCCAAAGGTGGGGAGCTAAGATCAGAGGGCACACAGCCCTGCGGGAGGAGCCGCAGGCCCAGACCCCTCGCACGACTCCTTTTCCTTCTCGGTTTGATAAGGTTAAGCTTAAGGGGGCGACTGCACTTTCATGGCAAAAGCACAGAAGACACACTGTTACTCTTTGGCTCCTGTTACAAAACTTCCCCTCCCAACTCTCCTCTCCATGTTCCTTTGAAAAAGTAGTTTCACTTTCTTATTGACACTTCTTCCTCTTAGCATCCTGTGATACTCGCTGACGTCCGCTTCCGGTTCACTTTGCCTGTCCTCTTTAGAAGTCATGTCCTTCTCCAAAGCGAGTGTGACCGGGTCTCAGCAGCGGCCCACGTACCTGTGTCCTGGTGAACAGAAAACACGCCCCAGTGCCTTCCTTTCCAGTGCGAGGCGATGTCTACCATTACATGGTCTATCGCTTGGCTGTGGTTACTTAATTCCTTCTCTTACTTAAAAATAAAAAGGGGACACACTTTAGAAAATGTGCAGAGCCCGTACCAGGAAGCCTTGATCAAACCACAGCAGACAAACCCACCTGAGCTCAGAAGCAGTTCAGCCGCAGCCCGAGGTCCGCCTCCCCTTCCTCCACTCTCCTTCCGCCCGCCCTCCATCTGTTTCCATTTCTTTCTCCGTTCCAGCCGGAGCGAACTGCATCTTTTCTTGTTCCTATGCCCTTTTCCAGCCCTCTGCCTCACTGCGCCAGGTTGACATCGGCCCCCCAAGTCCAGGGTGAAGCAGTTTAGGCTCCTGTCTGACCAGATAATGCCCACGGAGTGTGAGGGACTGAAAAGAAAATGAACATAGGCTTTCAAAGTCATTGATATAAAGTTTTCTAATGCTATTTTTTAACACTGAAGTTTTTTTCTTCAATATTTAGATACTTTAAAAATTTTTAAATATTTTATTTTATTTATTATTATTATTATTTAATTTGCTATAGGGCACGTGTGCTCACGAGAGAGAGAGGCTGGCCTCAAATGTCACCATGTTTCTTTTAAGTTTTTATTTATTTATCTGTTTATCATTGTGAATTTTCAAGCCACCAGGTCCAGGACCCGAACTGCAGTCAGCCACATGAAAAGCCAGCACCTTAACCACCATGCCACCTGCTGACCCCAGCATTAAGATACTCTTAATTTCCGTTTCTTTGACTCCTTACTTACCACCTGTTCATTTTCTTATTTTTATACATTAATGTTAAATGTACTCTTTTTGTGCAATGATGACTTTCATCCTTTAAAACCCATACATTGCAATGGCTTACCCCTTCTTTCTTACTCTCCCTCTCAGCTCTCAGCAACCAGGCACGGGCCCAGCAGGAGCCGTCTCCCCGCCTCCGGGCGCTCTGCGGCAGGAGCTGCTAACGACCCTGGCACACGCCGTCAGGCGGCAGCTCTGGGCCAGACAGGCCGGGCTGTTAGTCTCAGCTCCCTCCACAGCTCACCCGCATGGCCTTGGGCAGAGGCGTAAACCTTTCTCACTCCCCGTAAAGTGGGCACGCTAATGCCTCCATAAGGGCGATGTCATCCTTAGATGAGGAAGTCGTAGGGACAGGTCGTGCAGAGCTTGGTACACAGTGAGGGCTCATTTGACGGGGGTAGCACTCCTCCACCCGCTGCCCAGCGGGCTCTACAGGGGGTGGGAAAGGGAGCAGTGCTGCCCTGTGGTGGGCAACGTGG